GCATGAGACACGAGAAGCATAGTCGGAAGGTGTGCAGACTAAAGAAATCATTGTATGGGTTAAAACAATCAAAGCAATTCAAATCATACTTTATTCCTAAAGAAACAACAGGGTAAGATTATTGCACTCATTGTATATGTGGATGACATGGTGGTTACAGGAAATGATTCTGAAGAAAGAAAGGCCCTACAGGAGTACTTGTCTAGAGAGTTTAAAATGAAAGATCTAGGTCCTCTGAAATATTTTCTTGGGATTGAAGTATCTCGATCCAATAAAGGAATATTTTTATCCCAAAGGAAATATGCCTTAGATCTTTTACAAGAAACCGGAATGTCAGGATGCCAACCAATTGGTACACCAGTGGAAGAATGCCTAAAGTTATGTGTGGAGCCCAACCAGGTACTGGCTGATAAAGGAAGATACCAAAGACTTGTTGGGAGATTGATGTACTCAGCCCATACAAGACCAGATCTAGCTTATGCATTAAGTATTGTCAGTCAGTTTATGCATAATCCCGGAGAGCAACATAAGAATGCAGTTATGCGGATTTTGAGGTATTTGAAATCTGCTCTTGGAAAGGGAATTTTGTTCACAAAGAACTCAGATCATCAAAGCATAGAAGCGTATACTGATGCTGACTGGGCTGGTGTCGTGGATGATAGGCGATCTACTTCTGGTTACTTTACCTTTGTAGGTGGTAATCTTGTGACATGGAGAAGCAAGAAACAAAATGTTGTTGCTCGCTCAAGTGCAGAAGTTGAGTTCAGAGGTATGACATTAGGACTTTATGAGGCATTATGGCTAAGACTACTCTTGCAGGATTTGGGCTATCTATCTAGGCAACCAATTCAACTGTTTTGTGATAATAAAGCGGCATGTGACATTGCTCATAATCCAGTTCAACATGATCGTACAAAACATGTCGAGGTACACAGATTCTTTATCAATGAGAAGTTGGATGACAAAATCATGGAGTTACCAAAGATTCGATCAGAAGATCAGTTGGCTGATATCCTCACTAAAGCAGTTTCAAGCCGAATGTTCTCAAAGTTTTGAGCAAGTTGGGCATGTGTGACATCTATGCTCTAACTTGAGGGGGAGTGTTGAGATTTGTTCTCGATCATTGTAATCTCCTTTGTAATTTTTTCCTAATTTAAGGACAACTGATGAGTGTGAACAAAATAGTTAGACTTGATTTTAGGACGTGATTCTAAAATAACTGATTATATTTTCTACGCATATAACTATGTACAGACTAATCACAAAATATGAATGAAAAATACAATTTCTCTATTTTTCAAGTAATTATGCTAAGCGTAAGCACTACCGGTGGCGTAACATTACTCAAATCCCTCAACTTCAAACATTCCAATTGAATGAAATAAATGACGATTGTTGACAAAACCGCGAAAACGAAACTGCGAATCTAATGGCGCCACCAGAGAGACGCCGTTAAAATCTGAGCCTTATGATGACCTGGCAGCATGCGTGGCATCCTTCAGCGTCAACCTGACGAATAGTAAGGCGCCAGATTTGCAAAAGGGTCCCTCAGTTTGCGCCAAATTTTAGAAACTTTTTTCTCACTATGAGTCTTCATCATTACAAACCCACCGCACCCTCCGAGTGGACTCGTTGACTCGCCCAAACTGACTCGCTAACTCGCTCGCTTGCCGTGTAATCCAATGGAGCTTCATCACTCGCCTCCTTATCGCTCTTAATCTGGAAAAAACTGAAAGTAATTCAATCTCAAAAATATAATTCTTTTTTCTTTTAAATATTATTTTTTTTCTTGTTGTATTCGATTGAAAGAAATGATGAAGTATGAGAATC